TCCTTAAAAAGAGTCCGCTTAGCGTGGGACCCTGTTGCACATCCCTGTCACTCAGTGGCAGTTTCGTGGCGCCTTCCTTCGCGGACGTGAAGTGAAGCTTCTGCTCCCCAAGGTGCCCCAGCCTTTGGCTTCCAACATCACTCCCGCCCCCAATACTGCCCACACCCCAGGCACCCAGGTAGCCCAGTGCCAGCCCCTCCCATCGGTAGGGAGCCGAGGCCCAGGGAGAGTGGAGCCTCATGCAGGTCCCAGGGCCCAGCCCTAGGACCCGTGCCTGGGGGCTCCTGCTACCGCAGCCTCCGTAAATCACCGTTTTAGAGCCGGATCAGCAGAATGCATCCATGGGAAGCACAGTTGATTAGGGCTCAGGGGGAAGAGGCGGTCTGAAGTGAGATGCTTTGTAAATAAAGGCCGATTAAGAAGCAGGCAGCTTTAGAGTCATCTGCATCTTGGACACACATCCCTGGGGGCCTCAGCCTCCCACACCCTTCATCTGTCCCTGGGAGAAATGGTCCTGTCCCCACTCAGCGCTGGGCAGGTGGGCTCTGACCTTGGAACCTGGTCTCCTGGACAAGCTCCTCTGCCACCACTCCTGGCTGCTCAGGGCTTGAAGGGTTCCCAAGAGTGGGCCTCCCACAGCCTCGTGTAAGCAAGAGGCAGGAGTGGTGGCACCGTTTACCAGGCATCTGGGGCACACTGCTCTGGGCTCTGACGGTGCCCCAGGCTGCAGACTCTCTCCACCCCGGGCTCTGTTTGACCCATGGACCGCCATCCCCAGTCAGCCAGTGGCTGCACGTGCCGTCTGGCGGCTTCCCTGATGCTCCTGATTCTGCAGATCTGCAGGCATGAGCTTGACTGGACCCACAGACCAGCTCCGCCACCGGGATCCTCCTGGACCCTCCTAGTTACAGGACTTCTGGCTTGCGCTAAACTGTCAGGATGCAGGGAGTGGGTGTGGCCAGTTACGGTGCTGCTGGGCTGTTGGTTTTGAGAAAGTTGTGATGTGCTCTACACACAAACACAGATAGACACACACAAGCACATGCATGGCTGTGCATGTGTAGAATGCATAAACACACACGTATTCATGCATATGCCTGTGTGCACGTAAGTGCATGTATTCACACACCCGCACATCTGCACATACTTGACATGTGCATTAATACATATCTCCACATGCACAGGCGTACGTGTGTGCATGACGCCTGTCTACACGTGTGCGTGTGTACTGTCTCGTTTCTGTAAACGGTGGAGTAGAAGTCACCTTCAAGCCATTCCCCAATGCTCAGTCTTCACTCGCTCAGAAATACAGAAGAAAGACATGCACCAGGGAAAATCAGCAGGTGTCGTCTGTTAGAAAATATTTTTAAGAGCAACTGGAAGCATTATTTTTAATCAGTATAGCGATGCGTCCGTGTTTATGTGATGTATTCTGAACGGGCCCAAGATGGCTGCATGCTCAGAAGCACACTCTCGTTTCGCCAGGGTAAGCGCTAATTGTGGTTGACGTTTTTTTCCAGGGAAGTGGTGCATCTTCCAGGCAGAAGCCCGTGCAGGTCTGGCATTTTCACCAGATTTTGTTATTACATTTGTCTCACAGCTTTAAAATAGTAGCAAATATGTGCAATTTATTTAAACAACACTAGGGAAATTAACGCCATGCAAGCTCATCCTAAGCAAATGAAGATGAAGGTTGTTTTTAAAAAAACAGCTGCACAGCAACCCTTTAAAACTCAGAGTCTGAGATACAGAGGGCCCTGGTGAGCCACTGCTGGTTCTGAAGCACCACCAGGTGGGGCAGACCAGCCAGGCTCTGCCTCAGTCTCCCGCTGGGAGATGTGGGGAAGCTGCAGACGGCCAGAGGGCCCCTCCTAGAGGCGTGCCAGAGGCTCCCCCCTCTCTCATCTGGGAGAGATTGGTCCAGGCGATCTGCCCTCGTGCAGACCTGCTCAAGAACAAAAGTAATGCTTCCACCGCCCTTCTTCAGAGGTGGATCCCCAATTGATTGCCTGTGGGCCTGGAGACCCCCGATCACCTGTGGGCCAGGAGACCCCCCTATCCCCAGCCACAGTACATCTCAGGCGTGGTTGGCAGCCCCACCCCAGAGTTAAGTCCTGGGTGAGACCTAGGAACCTGCATTCCTGATGAGCTCTCCAGGGTGCTGAGCTGCTGGTCCTGGGACCAGCCTGGGAGTTCAAACCTGTTTCTCCCAGTCTGGGATTTGTGGAACACATCCCTGGTACAGGAAACATCACTTAGACCCCCTTTTCCCCTGGTTCCCTGCCTCTTCCATGGGACGACTAATTTCTGCCCAGCTGAGACCACCATGGGGTCCGGCAAAGGGGGTTCACAGGCAGAGACCACAGAAAGGAGGGGTAGCACTTTTGGGTGCTCTGGACTTGGGGTCACACTCCTGGCATCCAAATCCTGCCTCTGCTGAATGGGCTGTGTGTGCTTCAGGGGTGCCGTGACCTCTGCTGAATAGGCAGTGTGTGCTTCAGGGGTGCCTTGGTCTCTGCTGAATGGGCTGTGTGCGCTTCAGGGGTGCCGTGGCCTCTGCTGAATGGGCTGTGTGCGCTTCAGGGGTGCCGTGGCCTCTGCTGAATGGGCTGTGTGCGCTTCAGGGGTGCCGTGGCCTCTGCGAGGTAGTAAGGCAGGGATGAATGATGGTGCTCCCCGCTGAACTGGTGAGAGGAAGGATTCAGGGGGAGACTGCATGGAACATCATTTGGCCTGAGCCTGGAACCTCAGTGCATGCCACAGCTCTTTCATCGTTCCTGTTGCTATGTTGGTGTTATTTCTAGCCACTTTCAGCAGTGGGATTCATCTGGTCTTTCTCATCAATGATGAGAGCTGGTTCACCTAAATGGTTGTATCTCCAAGGTAAAGACCAGGCTCCCAGGGAAGTGCTGTCTGTCTGGGGACAAATCTTGGAGGACAGGTGGGTCTTGGAAAACAGGTGGGACATCTTTAGTGGAAGGGCCTGATGCAGAGTCCTGCTGCTATCCTCATCGGACTTTCAGTACCTATGAGGCACGGGCTGCTGTCTGAGCAAGGAAACCAGTGTGTGCATTTTGATGTATTTTCTTCCATTTCTTTTTTTTTTTTTTTTTTTTTTGAGACGAAGTTTCGCTCTTTTTGCCCCGGCTGGAGTGCAATGGCATAATCTCAGCTCACTGCAACCTCTGCCTCCTGGGTTCAAGTGATTCTCCTGTGTCAGCCTCCCAAGCAGCTGGGATCCAGGCGCATACTACCACACGTGGCTAATTTTATATTTTTAGTAGAGATGGGGTTTCATCATGTTGGCCAGGCTGGTCTCAAACTCCTGACCTTGGGTGATCTGGCTGCCTTGGCCTCCCAAAGTGCTGAGATTACAAACAGGAGCCACCGAACCTAGCCTCTTTTTCTATCCTTTAAAAAAATGCAGTCGGTTTGGTGGCTCACTCCTATAATCCCAGCAATTTAGGAGGCCAAGTGGGGTGGATCACCCCAGGTCGGGAGCTTGAGGCCAGCCTGGCCAACATGACAAAACTCCATCCCTACTAAAAATACAAAAATTAGCCGGATGTGGTGGCGGGCTCCTGTAATCCCAGCTACTCAGGAGGCTGAGGCAGGAGAACCACTTGAACCCGGGAGGCGAAGGTTGCAGTGAGCAGAGATCGTACTGCTGCACTCCAGCCTGAGTGACAGAGCAAGACTCTATCTCAAAAACAAAAAAAGAAAACGCAGTTGATGCTGTATGTTTGCTTTTGTGCTATTTCTCTACTTACTAATATTTTATGGCCATTTTGTTCATGTCAGCCTTAAACGAGTAAACTTTTAATGACTATAATCTTCCAAGACAGGAACACAATGTAATGCCTTTATAGTTCACTGTCAGACATTCAGATTTGTGCTCTAGTATTTTTACTTATATAAGAACATTTGTAATAAACATCTGTCTACAAGGACTTTGGTCCACCTGGAGCTTCCTGGGGACAGATTTCCAGCTGTGGAGTTACTGGGTCGAAAGGGACCATTCTTTCTGAGGTTCTTGATAGTCGCTGGCAACCAGGAGGCAGAGGGCTGTGCTGAGTGACCCTGGGGCCACAGCAGCAGGAACCACATCAGTGTAAGCCCTGACGGCCTTGAGTCCCATGCCAAGCATGGACCGGACATTTCTCATTGTCATCTGATGTCATTCCCATAGCAGCCCCTAAACTCAGGGCCATTGCGACATCTCCCTTCTGTAAGAGAAGAACCAGGATTGTGGGAGATGAGGGGACACATCGCATGAGCTTCTGCACAAACACACAGGTGTGGGTCCCACACCAGATCCCACGCCCTCGGCCGTGACCCTGCACGCCTGCCTCACAGCACACTCGCACGCTGCAGATTCCCTTTGCTCAGTCTTGTCAGTTTCGCAGGTAGAAGAGGATGTGTTACTTTGAGATGCATTATTTGATTACTGGGAGACGTGGGCATTTCTCATAAGTTTATTGATCATTTACATTTGTTTTGCTGTGAATTATCTATTCATGTCCTTTTCTTGTTAGGAAACAAGATTCCATTTTATTTTCTTCCTGATTTGTAAGAGTGCTTTATATAGTGACTATTAACCTCGCGTCAAATTGCTATAAATCATGTTTTCCGAATGTGTCAGTTGCCTCCTGGATATGTTTTCATAAACGGGAGTTTTCCAGTAAAACATATTAGCCTTTTCTTTTGTGATCTCTTGCGTAGTTTTGTGGGGGCTTACAAAGCCCTATCTATGCTATTGGTGACATTGTCAACTGTATTTGCTCCTTTCCTTATGGTTTCTTTTTCCCCATTTACTTTGTAATCTGTTGCATCCTATTAATGGGCATCTTACTTGACTTTTTCCCCTAACACTGAGCTCCCATCCCAGCGTTATCCCGCTCTTCCCTCTCGGTCCCCAGATCATCTTAGCACAGGCTGTTTTCCTCTCTGCAAAACCTAACCAGGCTTCGTTGCCTCTTGTCTTCCCTTTCCAAACAAAGGCACAGAAAGGGAAGAAGACCGTGGCTCTGGACCCGTCTCCGCCTCCGAAGGACACGCTGCTGCCGTGGCCCCAGCACCAGAACTCCAACGGGCTGAGGCGGCGAAAACGGGACTGGGTCATCCCGCCCATCAACGTGCCCGAGAACTCACGAGGACCCTTCCCACAGCAGCTCGTGAGGGTGAGTCCAGACCCCCTGCCGCTGGCACGGGGGTCCCTGCGCGGGGGTCTCGGCATGGGGGCCAGGCCCTTCTTTTGACATCACAGAGCCGGGGTGCGCGCTGCGTTTGCTGTCTACGAAGGCTGCAATGTCACCCTTTTGGTAATGAGAGAAGCATTACACAGGCCAGAATTCTGGCTGAGAAAGCTGCGTCCTCCAAGGCCGATGGGTCTTTCTGAGTTGCGGGTGATTTCTGTCTTGGTTACTTTCGAATGGCTGCTCTGGAAGCAGCGGGCAGGGGTGTGGATCACGGCCTTTGACCTCTGACCCCATTCTTTGGTCTAGTTGCTCATATTTATTTCCGTGTGTGACTAAGATCGTGGATGATGGGACGGTGGCATGTCTGCCACAATGATCGTTGCGCTGAGGCCAAAGTGGGCCATGCCGTGGGCCGTCTGCGGGTTCGTGGTGTCCCTGAGCACTCAAGGCCACCCTAGGTTGCTTTTACTGCAGAAAGAATTTATTTTACAAATTTGTGTTTCTGTAATCAAGGCCATCAACCAGTAATTTCTTCTTCCCTTTGAAGAAAATTGCAGCCCAATCTGAGCAATAATTTGATAAAAGGATGGCGAGAAATCCATTAAATAATTCCCACCCATTGTGGAAAAGCCTCACCCCACTCTTTGGAAATGAGGGTCCCCAGAGTACGCAGAGGGGACATTCTCATTGTTTGTGCTGATTAGCCTGTTTTGTTTCTCATTCCCTTCAACGCTGAAGGCTGCGCTGTGCATTGGAAATGCATAGATAGGTGGTGAAAAGCAGCCACCAGGCAGGGTCCCCCCAGTTCTTTGTCTCCCTAACCTCAGCCACCAGGCCACCCTGCCAGGGAGCAGCCAAAATGGCCAGTTGTTTAGAGCAGAAACTGACGAGAGTGAACGCAGTGTGCGATGCACACCCAGCCGAGGTGACTTGGTTGCAAATACATCACCTGCCTTCTCTGCCCAGAGCCGGCCCTCCCACCCCAGCGCCCAGCCTCTGCTGCACCCTCCCCATCAGGGGCTCAGCTTTCCTGGGCTGCCCACACCCCTTGAGGGGCCAGGCTGGGTTGGAGATTTTGCTGTGAAATGCAGTTCAGGGCTTGAGGGCCACCAAGGGTTGGAACCCCATCCTTGGGGGAGCTTCCCAGGCCCACATCTGCTACCCAAAGCCCAGTCACGTGGCCATGTCTAATTGCAAGGGGCACTAGCAGCGAAACCATTCCACATCCTGAAGGAGCAGGAAATATGTCTGGTGAATGGCTGGTCTCTGCCAAAGCTGTTTCCAAAGATGAGATCAGCCTGTGTCATTTCCTCTCTGATGACCCCACCGTCCCAAGGAACGTGCCCGCACCGCCACCAGAGCCCTCGGTGAGCAGTTCACGTGTCATTCACCAACCAGGTCTACCCTGCTTTAGTTGGCCGTAGTGCTTGGTGTTATCCAGCTGTATTATCATGATTTATTCACCTGCTTACTTCTCTAAGAGGGGGCTTCCTGGAGGCAAGGATCTTGCCTGTATCCCTAGTGTTGTAAACAGCCCTTAGCATGCAGTGGGCACTAAATTTGTTGAGTGAATGAGTGATAGATGTGATCTCAGTGGTGACTGTTGTGCTGGGCGCCCATCAGTTCACCCTGGAAAATGGCGCAACTGCTGGAATTTAGCAGAAACGTCAGCATTGGCTGTCCTGGCTCTCAGAGTCCTCCAAGTGTCAATGTGGCTCACACAAGGGCATTCCCTCCAGCTTCCATCTGAAGGAAGAGGGGAGAGCATCCAGGCTGAGCTTGATGCCTAGGGAAGACAGACCTTAGCGAATGGAAAATGGAATTTCTATTATGGCTTCTGTAGATTTGTTTTCCAAATGGATTCTAAGTCATTACGTAAGACTCTGTGCATGCATGCGTGCACGCGTGCACACACACAGGCATGCACACACACACACAGACATGCACACACACACATGCATGGACACACGCGCATATGCACACATATGCGCGCGCGCGCACACATGCGCACACGCACACACACTTGCATGTACACACGCGCGCACACATATGCGTGTGCACACACGTGCGCACACGCACACACACTTGCATGTACACACACATGCACACACATATGCGTGTGCACACACATGCGCACACGCACACACACTTGCATGTACACACGCACGCACACATATGCGTGCGCAGACACATGCAGACACACACACACAGGCATGCACACACACATGCACGCACACACATGCCCGTGCACACACAGGCGCACACACATACACACACGTGTATGCACCGCCCTGCTTCACACACACATACTCCTACACAGTCACGTCTCTGTTTGCCACCTCCCTTCCTCCACCCTCCCCTGTGTCTTCCGTTAACTTCTTCTCTAGCACAGGCAATGGTTTTGGAGGTGCTTTCCTGTCCCCATTTCCATCTATAGGAAGCTGATGAGCTTCCTGGCAGCACTGGAGGGGAGGCGGCTCTGGGAAGAGACCGTGGTGAATGCAGCCTGATGTCGGGGGTGGCAGGCTGAGCACAGAGCGCTTTGAGGTTCAGCTGGAATCAGCTGCAGTTCTACGCTCATTAAGGCATTTCATTCTGATAAAATATGTTAAATGAAAAACGAGCAGGAGAGGAGGAGGCAGAATATTCTTCCCCAAAAACATCTGTTAATTACAGGCTTTTTCCTTGGAAGGAATATCACGTCTCTTCCTAAGCACTAGTGGCACCATGCAGGGGGAAATAGGAAACCTACTTGTAGAGAGGAAAACCCTGAAAAACAGAGGGGTGGCTCTAATCGCCAGGCTGTAGAGCCGGGGGTGTCCACGGCAAAGCGGGGAACCATGCCTGGTGGCTCTGCTGCTGGAACCAGACCGCAGTCTAAAGTGAGTGGTGATTGCAGAGGTGTAGTCACGCGGCGGAAGGAACATTTGGAACCCCGGGCTGTCCCTTCTTCTCAGGCAGAGGAAGGAGGAAGCCGCTCACCGCCACTGAATTGATTTTCCAGGAAGTCAGATTGGGACTCTTCCTTCCTATGTGACCAGGGGAACTGGGGAAAATGGCAGGAGGGGCATCATGTAAAGGTTAGCAGGATGCCCTCCCTGGTCCCGGACTGGCTCTGGGCTGGACAGTTTGGGCACTCGGTCAGGTGCCAAGCAGCAGGCATGCACTGGGGATGCACTGGGGATTCAGGGGAGAAGGGATTTAGGGTTCTTCGTGGCCTTTGGGAACCACCAAGCAATCCACATTCTGCGTGAAATTCACAACTTGGCCCCGGCGGCTGTAGGGGTAGCCCCTGCACAGGCACATTTGTGAAGGGTTTTAAAAGCCACTTGTTGGCCAGCATGTGGTAGGTTTGACTCCAGGTGAGATTCAGAGTGAGGATAAAGTGAAACCTTTAAGAAGAGGGTCTGTTGCTTGGCTGAGTCTGATACGGATTCACGGTGTGCTGCCTGGTGAGGTGGTCCGGGGCCTGTAGGCGTCAGCTCCAGGTGATGAGAAGGAACGTGGTGCTCTTGGGTGCAAATCCTTTGACTTTGCAGTTGATGTTTTAGAAGACAAGAAGTCATGCAAACCAGTCTTCAGGGCCCCTGCCAGAGAGCGAAGCCTGGAACAGAGCTGTCAACACAGGCCCTCGAGGGCAGTCGCTGCAGTCACAGAGCCTGAGAGGTGGGCCCCTGGAGGAGACAAGCAGGAGCCCATTTCCAGACAAGCGTGGTCACAGGCGCACAGCCACAGGTGGCTCGCAAAGCGTCGCTCAAGTCAGCCCCCGCCCCCGACAATTTAAATGAGCTTAAGCGGACGAAAGTGGAATGTTTCCTTCTCGTCTTCCGTATACCCTCGGTTCCAGTTGGTGCACGTACGCCCTGTTGCTTCACATCCAGCCACAAATACTTATGCCATTCTCTGTAAACAGAGATGGGCCGGGTCTTTGGGAACGTGGAGGTGAAAGGGCGCATGCCTGCCCCACACGGCTCAGGGCTGCTTGAGCCAATGGGTGATGCCTGAGCCAGGTCTGCACCCTGAGAGGCACAGCCGAGGCAGTGGAGACCGCTCTCTGGCCCGTGACAGGGGCCCCGTAAAAGTTGATTGGGGCCAGGTATAGGTAGCTCATGCCTGTAATCCCAGCACTTTGGGAGGTCGAGGCGGGCAGATCATGAGATCAAGAGATTGAGACCAGCCTGGCCAACCTGGTGAAACCCCATCTCTACTAAAAATACCCCAGAAAAAAAAAATTAGCTGGGTGTGGTGGCAGGCTCCTGTAGTCCCAGATACTCAGAAGACTGAGGCAGGAGAATTGCTTGAACCAGGGAGGTGGAGGTTGTAGTGAGCTGAGATCACGCCACTGCACTCCAGCCTGGTGACAGAGCGAGACTCGATCTCAAAAAAAAAAAAAAAAGTTGATTGCATGTGTGAGCATGTGTGGTAGAGACAGCTGAATTTCAGCCCTGCGTTGTCTTTACAGAATGTTTGCTGGGTGACTTAGCGGTGTAATTAGCACAGAGTCCTAATCAGGTTCTGATACTCTACAGCGTCCATGCAGGCATGAATGACGGGCGTGGTAGTCATTCATTGTCTCATGGAAGCAAGGTGGCTGTGTGGCCCCACTGTCCTTGGGAGATGGTCTGAATCCTTGCCTTGCCCTGAAGATTTCACGAGCTCACACCACCCCTTGGCACAACAAGCTCCAGCTATGCTGAGTGCCTTGTAGCTTCCAGACTGGCTTGTAGCCGTGGTCACCTGAAGTCCCATGCGCAAGCTCTCCCCTCGGCCTGTAAGGTTTTCCTGGTGCACCTGACACCTCCCTCTACCCGCTACTTCCTACCAGCTCTGCGAGCTCCCCGCTTTTCAGGAAGCATCAGAGGCCTTCCCATGGGGTGCCAAGGCACCCACTTTGCCTGCTACTGTGGCCAAGTTTTTGACTCTGTTTTGTCAGTAATTATTGTTTGTGTCCCCCACTAAACCTAAAGCTCCTGCCAAACACA